ATATATATATATATATACATATGTATACATACTCAGAAGGAGAATTAGCTTGACACATACATTTTGATAAAGAGAACGAAATGAAGAAATAGATAAAATGGTATATCACCATTTCTTTCTAGACATTGTCTATCCTCTACAGAATGTAGAACTCCATCAATGGCCTCCATTCGGCTCTAACTGCTGTTTTCAGTATCCAGGTTGTTTCTGTTCGCTTTCTGATAGCATCACACCCCCTCACGTATGGTCTTCGTCTTGATCGTTTTCCTGTTCTTGGTCGCCATTCAAAGCATCTTTTTATCCATCTGTCATCTATGAATTTGGGGATATCTGCCACTTCTGTTTTCTTTCGTATTTATGTATGCTTTATTTGTTCATGTATTTTATACTCAACATCTTCGTTGTCTTTAATTCCATTCATGATATTTCTGGTATCTGTCCAGGTTTTGCACCTATAGTTTATTACTGCGACCAGGCACTGGTTGAAAACTCGTGTTTTTTGTGGTATCGGCACTTTCGTCTGTAAATATTACCCTACATCTTTCAAAGCAAGTCATAGCCACATAATATGTCCTTCTGCTTACCCCACCTTTGTTTTTTTTTATCAATTTATTTATATTCTGTCACTTTTTCAATGTTCTTGTCTCTATAGCGACAGATATGTCGCTGGTGTATTTCGTCGTGTATTTGGCTTTTTCTATGTGGATCTAAGACCCACTTTGTTTCTTTGTTCATGATGTTGAGGTTAGTTTCCTTTCGTTGTTCGCTTTCAGTGCGAAGTGTTACATCATCGGCGAATCTCAGCTCTTTCAGGTGTTCTCCATCTATTGGCCTTCCTTACTAAGCAATTCTGGCTTTTGTTGCTCAAAACTGCTCGCTCTAGACTTGCCCACAAATTGATCATACAGTTTACGTCTGGACTATCAACAAATCATTATTCCATGATATCAATTCCATTGTTTTTGAGAATCTGCCTTGCAGCATTAGCCCTGTGAGTCTGTGCTGATCTGTTCCAAAGCGTTCACTTGCGGACGTTTCCACAGGCGCACCTTTTGGTCATTATTTGTGTTAATTTTGGTACTTTAACTTTTCGATCACTTTCTTCAATTGGCTACCATACAAAGAGCATCAAAGATATCTACTCTATTTTCCGGCATGTTGCTGAGCACTAACTTTGCTTGTACAACGACATGTGACTCTCAAAAATTTGATTAAAAATCGCATCGTGAAGCGTCAAGTTGATATTCTCCTGATATATATATATATATATATATATACATTGGTATCACATCGGGCACATCAAGGTGGTGGAGACGGCTAGTGATATTTTCTCCAACGTATCTAAACCATCCGAAGGTTCCGCGACTTTTGACGTCACATGCCACTTGTACAAAGTGAACAATTCAAGCATTAGTCCCCACAAAACAGACTGATATCATGAAAGATGAGACCTTGCCGATTACAATGTCTAACAGTATTTAGCAATTTTGCAAATTTCCATTTTAATGATCCACATAGCATTTAATAAGTTGAGTAAAATTTGGAGCTGTCAAAAAAAATTAAGAATAATATGTGATAGTCGTTGAACATTAGCTTAAACCTCATTTTGACAAATGAGTTTACCGATTTGGGCAATATTTCTGTAACAAAAACCAGCTTTCAAAACAATAGCAAGAAATATACAAACTACGAAACAAATTCCTGGCATTTTTATGAAGAAAAAGCACCAATCAAGTGTTTTCAATCCACATTAGTCTAGACTCAAGTGCCTTGCCATTAGATACCTCAGACATGTTAGACATTACGAGGGTACTTCTCATAAAACTGATTTGTTAACTGGAAACTTCATGCACTAATGCCACTTGTTAAATTGTTTTAAAAGAAGTCTTTACATAGAAGTATGTGATCTTAAACTATATCCAATATTATGTCGTTCATAGAATGCAGTGTAGTGCTTGAAAGAATAAATAAACAATATGCTTAGACTTTGTGAATAGGGTTGCATTTTGCAGTTTGTACTATAATCTGCTTTTTGCATTGAAAGAATCTGTGTATCTCGACATTTCTAACATTTCATTTTTTAATGTCATCAAGGCTGTCTTAACCCCTACCCCCACACTTTTCTCCTTCATTGTACACCTTTCTGTTCTCAATAGTCCCCCCTCTCCCATCAACTTTGAATTTACATCTTCAAATTCGCCCAAAATAACGCTTCAAGTGCAGTTAGCTGAAGAGAAACACAAACACATGAAAGCGCCAACCTGCGAACGGAAACAAAGGCAAGAATGATACCGTAAAATACGTCATTCAGAGTGCTCTATCTAGCTAAGGATTAAAACAAAAACCAATTCTGATTCCAGGCCAAACTCACAAGCTCTTTGACCTGTACATAGGAGTGCATGACTGTAAAACAACATTGCACATAATCAAAAGCTTTCCATCGGAGAGCTTATAGATGTGTATGTGTTTCTGTACCGTAGTGACGCCACCCCCGCCCCCTTTTCCCTTCCGCTTTCTTGTTCTCACCCCTCTTTCCTTTTTTCTCAGTTACTTTAGTTTTTTTCTACATTGAACTCCATCCGATTGCCCATCCCCCACCAAGACTCTCTCTCTCTCTCTCTCTTTCTCTCTCTCTCTCTCTCTCTCCCTCTCTCTCTCTCTCTCTCTCTCGCTCTCTCTCTCTCTGTCTGTCTGTCTGTCTCTCACTCTCTCTCGTTCTCTCTTGAACACACATGCACACACATACTCTGTCTCTTTCTCTCTCTCTTTCTTTCGCTCGCTCTCTCTCTCTCTCTCTCTCTCTCTCTCTCTCTCTCTCTCTCTCACACACACACACACACACACACACACACACACACACTCACACACACACACACACACACACACACACACATCCACACACACCCTACACACAAACGCACAAACACACACACACACACATCCACACACACCCTACACACAAACGCACACACACGCACACACACACACACACACACACACACACACACACACACACACACACACACATACACTCACTTACACACACATGGAGTGCACACATTTTTTCAGTACATTTTATTTGTGAATAATAGTCAACTGAATTTGTTTTGGGGTATACACTCAAAGACACACATTCAAACACTCGTTTATGGTCGTAATTACGAAACTTAAGCAAGGGAAGAAAAATTAAAATACAAAACGTAGACAATTTCACGAATCTGCCTTGAGTGTCTAAATATTTCCATGGTGGTACCTGTTTGCAATGTATGTAAGGAGACAAAGATTCTTTTAAAGTTCATTGGAGCTTGAAAACGTCTCGTCACTACCCGGAAGAAAGAACAGGGAGACACATACAAGTGTCCATAATATACATAGGCCTATGTGTGAACAAGTTAATGAGCTTGAATAGAACGGCTTTTATTTCTAAAAATATCTTTGTATTAATTTGCTTATACATTTACAGAGAGAAAGACAGACAGACAGACAGACAGACAGACAGACAGACAGACAGACAGACAGACAGACAGACAGACAGACAGACAGACAGACAGACAGACAGACAGAGAGAGAGAGAGAGAGAGAGAGAGAGAGAGAGAGAGAGGGGGGGGGGGTAGATGAGGGTAAGGTGAGCTAGAAAATACACAACGAGATGGGCAGTTATAACGAGAAAGGGAGAACGGAACAAGGTTTAACATTGTTCGATGCTCTTCTAGATTCCAAACCCAAAGCTTAAAGGGGCAAGATTCACACCGCTTCCTGGAATTAGCACCGAAGGAAAATCCCAGTTGTCGCCCTTGGTCCAAGCGTCGGAAGGTTGCACACCGACTTCTGAACCTGTATCCTACCGAGACCCCAGCGGCTCTCTCGCTCCACTCAAAGCGGCACCGCTCAGAGTTAAAGGTAAGTTGAGGACATAGGTCTGTAAACGTCTTATCGTTAAGAATCAAAAGCATAGACAAGCAAAAACAGTAGAACAACAGTTTAGAATTTACAAATTGCACTCAATTTATATATTTGCACAAACCTCTCCCTCCTCTCCACCCCCCCCCCCCCCCCACCCCTCGCCCATGCTGTTTTCTCTTTTTTTTTCTAACTTTATTTAAAAACAACAACAAAACAATAACTCTCCATCTCACCCTCCTCTGTGTCCTTGTTGACATGTGCGTTCATTTGTGTGCTTTTTGTAGGTACGTTCTTGCAATTAGCCGGGGTTTATAAGATGTACAGTGGTTGTTGGGAAGTATTGGATACCCACTATTTCAGCTATGTCTCTGTCTTTTTTTTTTGGGGGGGGGGGGTGATGGTGGTGATTTGTCCACAAATAATGTTCCAACACCCGCTCTTTCCCTTTATCGTTCATGGTATCCCCACCCTAGCCCCTATCGGCATTTTCCTCTGACACTGAAACTTTTCCGATCACAGGGACTGAAGGGTAGTTACAGACTTATTGCACACCCGCTAAATGAGCAGCCCGTCTAATGTCTGAATAGCACGCATATCTCTCTTCGGTCACGTGCACTTGCAGTTATCTCTATTGGCTACTGTGTTTCGCATTGGGATTCGTTCCTTCAGCTCCTGTTTTAGCTTTATAAAAATTATATTATTATCTATTGCCCATTCGGTCACATCCTCTGCCTTTGAAACGACCTTGTTGTGCCTGAAATGTATTGAAACTCAAGCAATAACAAACGAATTAGCTCTTTCATAGTGCCGTTGATTTGTCTTTCCCGTGCATGGTTTGGTGGTTTTTGGAAAAGTTTGAGGTATACTGGACTATTATATGCCAAATGGAAGGGGGAATCTTTGGCTCAGTTGTTAGAGTAAAGAAGAAGAAAGAATGAAGGAAAGAAGATATATGAAGTACTATAAGTAAATATTAGATATCGTACAAGAGTGTGGACGCTTACGTTGATGCTCCACAATTAAAGAAATTGCATGCCTTGCTGGTCACAATAGGTATAAATCTTTCCAATGCCAAAACCAGCAATTAAGTAGGATGTGGTGGTGGGGAGATTTCTTGTGTGTGGGCGTTCGGTGCTTACTGTTTGGGCCTTATTGTGAGGATTAATTCATTAAAAAAATTCTAACTAAGCTGAGACAAACCTTCTGTAAGACCGTCTTTTTTTTTTCGATCTTCCGTCTTTTATTTTTTTCTCTCAGTCTTGATTTTCCTCCGGACACTGATTGATTTATATTATTGTATGTGTGTCTCTCTCGTTAACTCAATGTTCATAAACGCTTGATGTTGTGTATATTGCAGTTTCTGCACGTACCTATTATATTGTGAATTCTGAAGAGATGGTGAATAGTGATCATAGAACTAATTCCCTTAAAAGTAACTTGATAGAACCTGGTAGTTTTATGACCACATACTATACGTATGGTAGCAACCTATGACTAAACAAAGAGTGAAGTTCTAAAAAATGAGATTTCCAATTTGTATGAAAATAGTTTAATTAGATTGACTATACATGCATATCGTGTAAGCTCTGGTAGCTGCTGATTAGGACAATAATATCCCTGTCTCTAGAATTCTAAGTACAGTGAGCGGAAACGAAAGCACGGCTAAAGCTAGACGTTTAACTGTAAAACTCTTTTCTTTTTGTTGTTTTTTTACCTGTATAATAAGCATACATTTCTCATCAGACGTTGACCCACAAGACAGCGGTCTTTTCCCCTTCCCGCTATCAACCCTTATATTTAGATTGTTGCAATGCAATGTCTTGCTTAAAGGTTCTTTACACCAGTCATCTGTAATAACGTGGAAAGGAACCCCAGCTACCCCTGGAAATATCTCTGGGAAAAGAAAAGGACAATTGTGTTCTGCTATCACGCTCGCGAAACGGGCATCTAATAGAATAATCTGTACAAAACAAGCCGTTTTACACTTTTTTGAAGGATGTTGAATGATAAGGTTCTTTTATACTCCTTTGTATTGTTTCAGCTTCTCCAGGCCCAGACACCACGCATGTGCAAAACGACCACATCCCGCCTCCGCTAGATTTCATGACAGAAAACGTATCTGAAACAAGGTGAAAAGATTATGTTTTGAATGAGAGTAAACTTGTCTATGTTTTTTGTCACCTGAAAGTAATTTTAGTCTGCTGCAGCATTCTTTACCTTTATTGATACGTTTTCACAAGCAATTTTGAATAAGCATTTATGAAGTTTATGGATTTTTTCAGTCTTTCTTGAACACAGAAGACATTATTCAGCGCAGTAACAGATTTAACCATGTATGATTGCACCTCAAAGTAAAATTCATGTAGTAGAACAGCAGTGTTCTCAATGACTTAGCTCAGACGGAAGCCAAACATCCATAGAGATGCTGGGACAACAGAAACTATCAAAAGTAAGAATAAACAGCATGTAATATGGATAGTGTCTGCCTGCAAAAAAAAAAAAAAATTTGTAGTGCATATGCTATCCTAGGAGGGTTGAAGTTCAGTATAGTATCTCGAAGAGTGTATGTTGCACCATATTTCCTTATCTCGTTTCTTATTTTTGGTAATTTTAGGGAAATCCTGTAAGCCAATTACATCATATATTTCTCTGCTTCGGTAACTGGATGTCACCTTTTGCTGCTTTTAACTGCCCAGAAGTAAAACAAATGACTTAGTCATTAAGTACAGTTTTGGCTTTCGCATACAAAACAGGCCATTGTTTTAGACACTTGCACGTGATCTACTGAGACTCCTCGTACTAGTAGTGAAGTAATCCATGCTGACTTAGACCACGAGTTTCGCACGATCATTTAATTCCGCCTCAGATTATTTGTAAGGCTGTTGTTTATTATTTTCATGCTTTACAGTCCGGTTATCTTGTGTACCAGTCTCTCTATATTCCTTCATATAAACCATATCTCACAACTGACGATCATTGGTGTATATTCTTGTCCATTCATCCTCCCTCCACATCACTCCCAACGAAGAGGAAAAAGCACTAATAAAAATAAACCAACTCATTGGGACAGAAACTTCGGAAAAAAAACCCAGCTCTTCTTAAACAATAACTTTCACGGTACATTGAAAATGAATATTATAAATACTAGATACACATGATTACATATAACCAAGCTTTGATTTCCACCTAACCATCCAACGATCCATGAAATATCTGGCTCAAACATCTCATTCCTCGCTATAATGTGTCTCTTTGACCAGGGTTCTAACAAAGCAATGGCGGGAATCTTTGCTGAAACTCCACAACCGTGGCGAAGTACCAAAGCAAGTCAACTCCTGGGCCGGTGGGACAGCGTCCACTGGAAATAAAACAACAACTAAACCTTCAAGATCGAAGGATCAGAAGGGTAGTAAACTTCCAGAGGGTCAACAGGCAGCCCCCTCCAACCTTATGAAACATTCCAGGATTCCGAGTACCCTCGTCCACGGCGGTGACGTGGCGAATGACTTGTCAGCGCTCGCTCTAACTGATGGGTCAAAGACGAGAGGGAGGAAAGCGACGAAAGGTAAAACGAAATCACGCTCGAAAAAGACTCGCACTCAACTTCATGTGGAGGAGAACAATGGCAGCTGCAGCGTGGAACTTCCGTATGCATACGATAAATATCTGAGGGAAGACGATGAGCATGCGCCTTTGTCACCCACTCCCCTCCAGTCAAATCCTGCAACGTACAGAGCGGGGGGACTGAGGTCATCTCGGAAACCAGTGACAGACACTCAAAACTCTTTAAGGTCATCTCGAAAACCTACTACGGACGTTCAGAGCTCATTAATGACGAGGGCAAATTATCGTCACCCGTCTGTGCGAGCCAATGACACTGTTAACGTTCAAGAACAAATGCAAAGTCAGAATAGCCACAAGACACCACAGGTATCTTCACACACCAAACCTGTGAGTATCGTAGCCAGCGGGAAACCACAGCACATGACCCGGCCAAAGCCTCAAGTACGGGTACAAATGATCAAATGACACGCTCGAGCAATTCTAGCTAAGCTCTGAACTTTCCAGGTCTTGGAAAAAGTTTCCTCCCAGGACTCTTTCTCTTTATTTGTCCTTTCGAATGTCGACTTGCTGTCACAAAGACTTGATGTTTCTGTGTAATGATGCGTTTATTATACATGAAATGAAAAGCGCCCAAGCTTTTATTCACATTTTAGTATGCGGATACATACATCCCCTTCACCCCTCCCTTTCTATGAGTGACTGCAATAATATTTTTCAGTCTGTTTTCTAGAGGGGATAAGGAATGATGGCTCTAAACAAAACCGAGTTGAATCATTGAAAAATGTAAAGAGCCTCTGGAACTTGTTAACTTACAATTCTGGTATCCAGACAGCTTGTGAGAGTTATTACGTATCTGTATGAATGTGTTTAATTGCCTTTTACTTGCAGTTGACCCTCTGAGACCTAGTTCTTAAGCCAGAAATGTTCGTCTCAATTATATATTATGCAAGCATCTTTAAAGTTTATGTAAGCGTTCGCAGGTCTCGAAAGTGGTTCTTACTTCTTGCCCGATTTCCTCTGGACGAACCTGGTAGTCCATGCGCCAGCTATGCAACGAGAGCCAAAGTTAATGTAAACTTGCTTGATTATAATTGGTCAGCACCATGGCTATACACTGTCAGTTTATTTCAACTAACTCCGTCTCATTCACCCCCCCCCCGCCCCCCCCCCCCCCCAATCCCCCTAAGTATTAGAGTCGCCGAGTGTTAAGAGCCATTAAAGTAGAATTCAATTTTAAACGAGTAAATAAAAAGAAACGTCATTAAAATGTGTGCATCTAATTCACCATGGCATAAGTTATACTTATTTTCTTTAAATGCTATCCTTCCCTTTCCCCGAAAAAAAACCCACCATTTTTTTAATTAATCTCTTGACTGGTGTTGGGACTGTTTTTTCTATTTGACAGATTGTTTTAGTAGAGGTTTTACAGCGCTCGCAATTGCATAAGGTCATATGAGCGCTATTTGTTAGTGAAAAGTGAAAAGTAGATTAACAGTATAGAAAAAGGATCTAATTCATAAACCATTATTATTATTATTATTATTATTATTATTATTATTATTAATATTATTATTATTATTTTTATTATTATTATTGTTGTTGTTGTTGTTGTTGTTGTTATTATTATTATTATTATTATTAGTCTTATTTCGATTGTCTAAGGGCAAGTTGTGATATTATTATGACTCAGGACGGTGTTTGTTGCGGACCGGTTCTTGTGATGTAGTTGTTAGGCTCTTTGCTGTTGCACGCAGACGACGTAGGTTTGATTCTTATGTCGAACAAATTCTTATCTTGTATCTCCATCTTTCTGCTGGGATGTTATATCCATCTCAGCATGCGTTGGCCCTGACGTGAATGTTCAAAGAAGCCCGCCTCCTAAATGATATGAATTGTATCGATAGGGGTGTAAATCATGTTTAAGTGAGCATGTATTTCAAGAACTGCTGTAGTCAGACGTCAGAGAAAGGGCAAGTTCTGACCATTCATTCCCAATTGTCAAATGAAGGCAAATGTGTCTTGAAAAATGCTCCTTTTTGTTGTCGTAGTTAAAGTTTAACACTTTACCAGGCAAAAAAAGACACGTCAAAGGCGGAGACCTTGGTCGCTGTTCAGAAAACTAGGCGAACTAGGCTAAGGGGAATATTTCTGTAAAACGGGATTCTGGAAGGACAAGGGAAAAACTTTGTCCCTATTTCGATTCAAGCTTCAGATGTCTACGTGTGAGATTAAAGCTGGTACTGTCCGCTGCTCAGTGCTCTTCTGAACATTGCTATGTAAATTTTCAAATTCTATAAACTTGGCATTGAAAGTTGAAACAGGATTCCTCAGTTTTTCTCTATACATTATTCATACTTCCAGATATAACTTGAATGTTTTCGCCTGGTTTTGAATTGGTTTTCATCCTTATTTGATTTTCTGTTAATTGACTTCGAAGAGAGATGAGAAAACCTGCCTCTTGCCTTTATCAGTGTTCATGCCTCCATTTCCGATTAATGTTAATTCTGATGTCAAAAGAGCTTCAGCTTAGACATCAAAATCATCTTTAATTATCTAAAAACCCAGGCCCCGTTTTAAAAAAAATCCTCTTTCTGGCTCACAATTATCAATCTATCTCCCTTCATCTTTCTCTCCATCCCATCTCCTTTGTCTTCTCTATTTCTTTCTTTCTTTCGCCTTCCATGTTATTATGCTTTCTGTGGTTATCTACTTGGTGTTAGTTTGGCGGGGGGTGGCGGGGGGGGTCTGTGGTTATCTACTTGGTGTTAGTTTGGCGGGGGGTGGGGGGGGTCTGTGGTTATCTACTTGGTGTTAGTTTTGCGGGGGGGTGGGGGGGGGGGAGGATGTTATTCTTTTACAATTTTACTTTGGCTCTCGCTGTCTCTTCCTCTTTCTCCCTCTTTCTCTCTGTTCTTATGGTTTAAAAAAATGATTTCCCTCTCTCAATCACTTCCATATCTCTATTCTTCAATATTATCTCCATTTTTCTAGCTATCTATTTTTTCATCTTTCTCTTAAAGTCTCTTCTTATCTAATTACGTCTCTGTCTTCTGTTGCATTCTCTCTATCTCTACCAGCCTGTCTGTCTGCCTGCCTGTCTGTTTCCCTGATATCTGTCTGTCTCTCTGTTTGCCTTTCTGTCTGTCTGTTCCTCTCACTCTATGTCTTTCTTTCTTTCATTCTTTTTTTCTCACCCCATTCTCTCTCTCTCTCTCTCTCTCTC